GTTTGGTCATATGGGCCACTGAAAATTATTAAGGTAATTGTGTTTACAGTTATAACCAAAATAAACATGATTATGATTTTTCCCATAACTGAGCAGCCCTGCTATCAGAATCCTATGCCTACTCATCAGCCAATCAGAATCAAGCACTCAACCAATGCGTAATCTCACCTGAGGTGTCCCACATTGTAGAAGCGGCTGGCCCCGTCGGTGGTGCGCACCACTTTGAGACAGAAGGCCGGCCTGAGGTGTCGAACCTCCAGCAGCACCAGCGCCAGATACTGGATGAAAAGCAGCGCGTCCACCAGCGACACCGCATATCCCACAATTCCCCTGTAGTCGCGCTCTCTGGGTTCCAGCACCCGCACGCCGTAGAACAGCCAGTAGGAGGCCACGAAGAGGAAGACCAGCGCCATGAGTAGGCAGCGGAAGACGAAGAAGCGCGGCAGCGTGGAGCGAGACGGCCGCAAGAACAGGGCCCAGGACGAGATCAGCAGCACCAGCAGCTTGAAGGCCAGAGACACATACAGGCCCTCACAGGGCGTCCCGCAGGGCTCCAGGGAATCTCGCCACAGCAGCTGCGGCAGCAGAAGGAAAGCCAGCGGCGTCAGCAGAGCGAACAGACCCAGCACCCCGCTCACGATCGGCCCGGCGAAGCGACGGCATTCCAGCGGGGACGAGTCCTCCAGCTCTTTAGAGGCCCGTGTCAGGTCCTCATTGGAGACGCTGTGCTCCGACGTCCCCGTCACCACCGTCGTGGTTTCACCCCAGTTATCATCCTGAGAGAGAGACACACGAGAATATAACATCACATGACTGAGGCACACACTGGCCTGCTGATTAGACTAACTTCTGAGAACTACAATAAACTGTGTGTGTGTGTGTGTGTGTGTGTGTGTGTGTGTGTGTGTGTGTGTGTGTGTGTGTGTGTGTGTGTGTGTGTGTGTGTGTGTGTGTCTTGAAAATGCACTACTTTGGGGAAAAAAATTATTCTCAGTTTTATTTTTAAATATTGTATTTGATTAATCCTATCTGCATTCAAGTGGTGAAGACATGCACATGTGAAGATAGAATAAAATGTTTTATAAATAAATAAATAAATATAAATATAAAATTGACATTTTATACTATAATAAAGTGTGTGTGTGTGCATGTATGTACAGCTGAAGTCAGAGTTATTAGCTCTCCTGTTAAATTTATATTCTTCTATATTTTTCCCCCAAGTTCTGTTTAACGCAGAAGATTTTTATCTTCAACACATTTGTAAACACAGCAGTTCCCATGACTGCAGTCACACACTGCACTGCCCTTTATTTTGGCTACACTCTTCTAGTCAAAATAAAACAAATAAGACTTGCTCCAGGAAAACAAATAATACAGGAAATACTGTCAAGAATCCCTTGCTCGGTTAAACATCATTATTCAATTCAATTCAATTCAGCTTTATTTGTATAGCGCTTTTACAATGTAGATTGTGTCAAAGCAGCTTCACGTAAATGGTCATAGTAACTGGATCAGGCTAGTTCAGTTTTTAGTGTTTAAGTTCAGTTCAGTCTAGCTCAGTTCAGTGTGGTTTAAAGTCATTACTGAGAGTCCAAACACTGAAGAGTAAATTCATCGATGGGTAGCTCTACCGATCCTGAACAATGCACGCTAGAGGTGACAACGAAGAGTGAAAAAAAAAGGAAAATTAGGAAAATATTTTATAGTTTAATTCAAAATACTTAATTTATTTTATTTGTGGTGAAGAGCAAAGCCTTGGTTCTTTATTTTGATATAGAATATAGTCATATATTCATAGTTCATGTGTTATATTCATAGATATTCATTGATATGCTGGAGGGAAAACGAGTTCATCTAAAGTATAAATATAAATAATTAAATAAAATAAAAATATTTACAAAACAAATACTGAAATGACAAAAAC